TTTTTTTTTTTTTTAGAGACAGAGTCTCACTTTATCACCCTTCGTAGAGTGCCATGGCGTCATACAGCTCACAGCAACCTCCAACTCCTGGGCTTAGGTGATCTTGCCTCAGCCTCCCAAGTAGCTGGGACTACAGGTGCCCACCACAATGCCCGGCTTTTTTTTGGTTGCAGTTTGGCCAGGGCTAGGTTTGAACCTGCCACCTCTGGCATATGGGGCTGGCACCCTACTCCTTTGAGCCACAGGCACTGCCCAGGACCATATTTTTCATTACAAAGTTTGCCACACAAGCTTTGGTTTGGTGAAAGAGTCTTAGAAGTAAACAGCTCTCTCCCTCACATTCAGAGATCTGCTCTCAGTACCCTCTGCAATGAGTGATGCCAACAGATGGACAGACAGACAGCAGTAGCCTGACCCCACACAGTCACAGGGAGACACGCAGCTTCTCTCCTCTGTGTTTCTGTTGCCTGTGTCTCCCCCTGCCCCACTCTCTCCATCTTGATCCATTTCTCTCCATCTCTCTCCTTTTCTCTCTCCCTTTGTCTGTCCCTGTTTCTGTCCCTCTATGACACACTGTTAGTGTGCTATGCACACCCGAACAGACTCTCTTCCTCTCCTCCCGGGCTTACAGACTTAGCACTGCCAGGATCTGAGTGCCAGATGGACTTTATTTGCGGAGAGCAGCTGGGTTGGGAGAAGGCAAAGCTCCCTGCATCGAGGGCAGGTTGGTAGGATGCAGGCGGGAGGGAGACCTAGGAGAGGGCAGGAGACAGGGATGAAGAGTGTGAGAGCACTCAGAGGGGAGGCCATACCAGACCCCCTATGATGGGCCCTCAGCAAACAGGACAGGCAAAGACTCCTGCCCTCCAGGAGCTCACAAAATAACCCTAGTAAATAAATCCTATGGGTAGAAGGGGATGCATATCACATAAAGGAAGGAGTAGGGGCAGCAGGAGGTGATGGGGTGAACCTGGAGCATTCTGGGCCAAGGGCACAGCAAGTGCAAAGGGTCTAACAAAGCAGAGACAGGAGAGGCAGGAGGACACAGAGGGGAAATCATGAGTGAGAGATGGAAACAGGCAGATGAGAAACCAAGAGCTCCCAGTGGGGCTGAGGAGGTCTCAGGACATGGGACCTGCTTCCTCCCCAGCCTCCCCCTCCTGCTGCCTCCAGGGGAGACCTAGGTGGCCCCTGATGGCGCTCACAGGACTCCTTCTTCGGGGATGAGGGTCCAACAGCCCCCACAGAAGAGTGTCTGCCTCAGGTGTCAGTCCAAACCAGGGCTGCGGTCGGTCCTGGGGCTGGCCTGAGGCCTGCCAGATGAGGAAGTCCTCATAGAAGGGGTCAGCCTCAGCCAGGGGCTGGTCCCAGGGGAAGTAGCCAGTGAGTAGGCAGAAGACCAGGACTCCCAGGGCCCAGGCGTCCAGGGCGGGCTGAATGGGCAGGCCCTCAGGCAGCGGCGGGGGTGCACAGAGCTCAGGGGCTGTGTAGGGGATGGGTGGTCCAGCCAGGCGGAGCAGGGTCCCACGGGGCCGCGTGTGTCCGAAGTCAGTCAGCTTGAAGTGCTGGCAATCAGGGTCACACACAAGCACATTCTCTGGCTTGACATCCCGGTACACCAGACCCAGGGAGTGGATGTGCTCCAGGGCGGAGGCCAGCTGGGCTGCACAGCGCTGGGCTGCAGAGTGTGGGAGGCCCACCTGATGGGGAGTGTAGGGATTATACTGAGGCCCTATAGCTCTCCTCAGCCCAGGAGGGAGCCTCAGGACTGCTAAGGAGGCTAAGGAAAAGGACCTCGAATAGGTCGGCCCAGGATGGCCCAGCGTGGCCCTATGAGGTCCAGTGCGACCCCATGAAGCCTGTAACCCTGTGAAGCCCAATGTGACCCTGTGAGGCCCAGTGTGGTCCTGTGAAGTCGATGATCCCACTAGGCCCAATGTGGCCCTGAGAAGACTGTGACCCTGTGAAGCCCAGTGTGACTCCATGAACCCTAGTGTGACCCCGGGAGACCCAATGTGGCCCAGTGTGGCCATGTAAGTTCCAGTGTGACCCTGTGAAGCCCCGTATGGCCCCATGAAGCACAGTGTGTCCCCATGAAGCCCTGTGTGACTCCTTGAGGCTTGTGACCCTGTGAGGCCCAATGTAACTCTGTGAGGCACAATTGTGGCGCCATGAAGCACAGTGTGAGCCGGGATCATCAGTGGGTTTCAGTGGGGTATAGTGTCACTCTTGTGCTGTCAGAGAATATCAGAGACACCTGACAATCCCATGAGCCCCATGGACCCTGTGATGACCTGCCAAGGGCAGGGTAAGCTGGTGGGGGCAGGGCAGTGGGTGAGCTTCCTGGCAGCTCAGGCTGCTCTGGGAGATGATGAGGCTCTCAGGGCACCTTGGGGACTGCCTGCTCACCTTGGGTTGGATGAAGGCCATGAGGTCCCCATGCAGAATGGGCTCTGTCAGGAAGCTGTAGGAGTTGGCTGACTCAAGGCCGATACCATAGGCCGTCACGATGGCGGAATGCACACCCAGTGAGAGCCCCACGCAGAACTCATATAGAAACCCCCGCAAGGATGTGGAGGTCTTGGGGAGCTGCTTCAGTGCTAGTGGCGTGCCTGGGGAGGCCAGAACAGGATTGGGAAGTGAACAGGGAAGCTGTGCTCACCCTGGCTGGCCCCTCAGCCTGGGCTCATTTTGACACATGCCACTTCTGCCTCTTCCAGTTCCCAGCCTAATGACATGGCCACCAGAATGTCACTAGTGGTACTAATACATGTGTGGTGGTATGACACAAGGCAGGATGCATGGTAGCTCATGCCTGTGATCGCTCTACTTTGGGTGGCTGAGTTGGGAGGATTCTTTGTGCCCCAAAGTCTGAGAACAGCCTGAGCAACATGGCAAGACTCATCTCTAAAAACAAATAAAAAAAAAAAAAGAGCACGTGGCAAGTTTATACCCCACCACCTTACAAGTCTACTGTGAGAGTAGGCAGAGAGACATCATGAAATGCCTGCAGTGACCTCATGTGGCCCCTCAGGAAAGCAAACCCACATTTGGCAAAAAGCATTTTTGAGAGAATTGGGGCAAAGGTAACCTGTGTGGGGGAGAAGACGCAACCATGGAATTGTGGCTTTCATCACTTATGAAACCGACTTCCTAGAATGGAAACTCCTTGAAGGCAAGAACTTAGGGTTTCTTTACTTTTTTTTTTTTTTCTTTTTAGCCACCAGCTGCCAGGGCCCAGCCTGGCCAGCCTTGAGGCTGTGGTGACTTAGGCAGGTCACCCTCTCTCTGAGCAGCCCGCCACTCCCCTGCAGTTTCTACAGTGTGAACTAGGATCATCAATGGGTTTCAGTGGGGTGTCATGTCACTCCTGTTGGTTAGAGAATGCCAGAGACACCTGACAATCCCATGGGAGTGCCCTGGGTCACCTCTGCAGCAACACCCACCAGTCTTTGGCACCCTGTGCTCCCCACTGTGCTGTGAGCTTCCCCATGACAGTTGTGTGTTCATGTTCCCAGCATCAGCCACCTGAGGCCAGGCTGCTAGGAGGCCTCACAGTGCACATACAATGGCGCCCAAGTGCATGAGCCTCATCTACAATTCCTCTGTTCCCCGTTATGTCTCACATCTCCTTGTTCTGTAGGCACCCAGGCCTGGGTCTTGCCTTTTCTCTGCATCTCTCTCTGTTGTGAGCTGTCCCCACAAAATTCATATGTTGGAGATTTAACCCCAGCACCGCAGAACATGACTGTTTGGAGACAGGTCTTTGAAGAGGTTAGATGAGGGCGCTAGGGTAGGCCCTAAACCTGAACATCTAGGGTCCTCAGGAGAAGAGATTAGGACACAGACATCTACAGGGAAACAGGGAAAAAATGGCTGTCTGGAAGCCAACGAAGCCACCTGCTAACACTCCCACTTCCAGGACCATGAGGAAATAAACTTTTGGTTTATGGAAACTCCTTCTGGGGATCTTGGTGATCGCAGCCTGACAGACTCCTCCAGACTCTCCCTCCCACCCACATTGGGAGCTGTGAGGGTGAAGGCCAGCTCTCTTTATCTGGGGATCCCCAGAACCACCTGGCATTAGGCTGAACCCCTGCGTGTCCTCCAAAGGTGTGCCCTGAACCAAGATTGACTCCAAGCTTCATTCATAGCATCCATTTCGTGTAAGGACAAGGCTGACTGTATGCTGGGTAAAAGGTACTGGACACTCTCCTGGGTGTCAGCCTTGCTAAGTGCTTGACTAATGGCATTAACTCTGAATCATCCCATGGGACCACTGAACTAGCCCTATGTAAGATTATGTTCAGGGAATCAATGGTTCTCTCAAGGAGGAAACTTATACATTTTCTTTCTTTCTTTCTTTCTTTTTTTTTTAAGAGACAGAGTCTCGCTTTATTGCCCTGGGTAGAGTGCCATGACGTCACAGCTCACAGCAACCTCCAACTCCTGGGCTTATGCGAGTCTCTTGCCTCAGCTGGGACCATGGGCTTGGCTATTTTTTGTTGCAGTTTGGTTGGGGCTGGGTTTGAACTTGCCACCCTTGGTATATGGCGCCAGCGCCCTACCCACTGAGCCACCAGCACCACCCGGAAACTTCTACATTTTCAAAGGAAAGAAACTGAGTCTAAGGAGTTCCCCCAAACATAGCTTGGGTTGGGTAGAGGTAAGACTTGATTTAGGTGTAGGAGATGTCTCGGTCTGCGCCCACGACCCTGCCCCTAGCTACACCAACCACCTCCATCCCCAGGACCTGGTACCTTTCTGTCGATGGGTGACCAGCAGGACACAGCCGAAGCGGCCCTGGCCCAGGGGACGCACTTGCTGGTAGAGCTCGTCCACCTCAGCTCGGACCAGGGTCTGGGCACTCAGTGCCATCATGTCCTCCAGCGCCAGGGCAGTCTCCTGGCCCTGTCGGAGTTCCTCTGCGGTCAGGCCCCCCAGACCCTCTTCACCTCCATCCTCCCCAGCCTCCACCTCTGTCAGCTCTTCGTCAGACTGTTTGCCTGGCATCTCTGCAAGGACAGACCGGGAAAGGGTGCCCAGGTTCAGGTCTCATCAGGCCTGGGGCCCTAGGGCAGAGGAAGCAGTACCCCTGGGTCTGAAGGAGGAGGGGCTGGAGGCTCATTGCTGCTTCTTATTTTGACTCAGTTTCCCCAGGTGAGAGTCCTTGAGGAGGAGAGAGATTATCCCTTGTGTGAGGAGAACTGAGCCTGATGTCCCCTGCCCCCACGTCCCTGCACCACCTGATGGCCTGAGGTTGAAAGATGAACCAGATAACTGGAGACACCCCCAACCTTGTTTCCAAAGCAAACAGACTTGGGCCCTGGGGGTGGATGAGAGAAGAACAGGTGCTCTCTGCCCCCAGGGGCTGGGAGGCAGGGCTGCACAGGGGGGCCTGGGACGCCTGGGTCCGGCAGGGAACAGGCGCTTGGATGGGTCCCCAGGACCTTCTCAGGCCTGGGGTCCACCTCTTATAGCTGGTCTGCTTCCCTCAGACCCAGGCTGCCCACCTACCCCTCTCCTGGAACCTTATATCTCTCTTACAGCTGCCCCCCTCCAAAATCTGTATCCCTAACATTCTGCCACTCTGCAGCCTCTGGGTGCTCCCCAAGGGCCCCAGGACCCAGGCTGTCTGGCCATTTTCTTTCTTAGGTGCTACCCACCTCACTCCACAAACCTTGCTTTCCTCTTGGCCAGGGCTCAGCCCTCCGGACCCACCTTCTCCAAGTCCTGCCAGACTCTTCTGCCGTGGTCAGCACCCGGCACTCAGGGCTCAAGCCAACAGAAGCCTGCCCTGAGCAAGATCCCGCCCCAACTCTGGGGGGTCATAGGGCCCCGCCCCAGCCCTGCCCAGGCCTGGTCCCTTTTGCCCCCACTGGGAGCAGAGCGACATCGTGTGTTGCCTCCTAGAACTGGCTGTGGTCAGATAAAGGCCCTGGCCCAGCTAGGCCCTCTTCCCTCAGACCTAGGGGTCCTGGCCCCTGCAGAAAATGAAGTCATCTCTGGAACTCACCCCTGCCTTGAGCCCCCCAGCTGCCCTATCAACATCCCATTGACAGGTGTTTGGAGAGGGGTATCCAGGGCCGTGGACACTGGGGTGCTGTGTGGGGAAAGAATGAGACAACGAGATTCCAGAATGATGCAGTGAAGGATGACCTCAGACTTGGGGGCATGGGAAGCAGGTGTTGGAGCAACTGGGATGAGAGGGGCCTGGGGGTTGAGAGGTCTGTGTTCTGTACCTGAAGACTTAAGTGGGTGAGGGGAGGTCATGTGTGGACCCCTGGGCCTTGGGTCCCCCTGACTCCATAGAGAGGGTTAATGATACAAATAATTTGAAAAAGTTCAATGATAGGAAAAAGGACCACTGAGCACTTGCTTCTCTGCTCTCAGCACAGGATTATTAAGCCACCCCCAAAGTCAGCCAGTCCCTGGCCAACAGAGGGGCTCCAGAGGGCTTCACTTCTGTTCTGCCCCTTAGGCTTATAGCTCATGAACAACATGAACCTGCTTTATTTATTTTTATTATTTATTTATTTTTTGAGACAGAGTCTCACTAGGTCACCCTTGGTAGAGTACTATGGCATCACAGCTCACAGCAACCTCAAAGTCTTGGGCTTAAGCAATTCTCTTGCCTCAGCCTCCTAAGCAACTGGGACTACAGGTGCCCACCACAATGCCTGGCTATTTTTTGTTGTAGCTGTTGTTGTTTAGCTGGCCTGGGCCGGGTTTGAACCTGCCAACCTGGGTGCATGTGGCTGGTGCCATAACCACTGTGCTATGGGTGCCAAGCTTTAATTTTATTTTTTAAAATAAATTTTATTTGGAATAACTGTAGATTTTACAGTATGGTTACAAAGATTGTGCAGTTCCCATGTACCCCTCACCCAGCTTCCCCCAACATTGGCATCTTAACACAACCAAAGGTGCATATGAGAGAACAAAAACTTTACTGATGAGGTGCCAGACTCTTTCCGTTTCCTCTGCACACCCATTTGGAGCCTTTCTCTGTCCCGGGACCAGCTCATGATGCTGTGCTGCACTAAGCGAGCTTGCTTTTCAATCTAGAAGGCATAAATTCCCATTGAGGAAACTCAGTCTCCTGTTCCTGGGTGCCAGGGACACAGAATTGGATCTATCCAGCTCCTGTCCTGCAGGCGTGAGCCAAGCCAGAGGTCCATATGCCATCAGGGTGGTGGGTGGGAAAACTGGGGCCCAGATTGGCCTGGGGAAATGATGGAGCCTATAAGAACCAGGCCTGGCTCCTAATGGACAGGTCTGAGAAAGATGGATGGCACTTGGACAATCACAAACCATGGTGCTCTGTGGGAGCAAAACCTGGAGGGATTTAGAAATGAAAAAGGTCCATCCTGGACAATCAGAGATGGGAGACAGAAAAGCAGAGAGAAATGAATCATTCTGATACAAGTTCCTCAGAAGGCCAGAGAGAGCTGGGGGCGGGGAATGCTCCCTAGAGCTGTGGGGCTGAGAGAGGTGATCTCAGTGGAGGGCACAAGATGTACCTAAGTCTGCCAGCATCCCATGGCAACACCGGACCCTAGAGGAATGGTAGAGCTAGAGATGTACATGGTGTCGGATCCTGAAAGTTCAGATTTTGTGCCATGGACAGTGGGAGTCATTGAAGATCTTAGAGGAGAGGAGTAATCTTGTCAGAACTCCTTGATGTGCATTCAAGGCTCGGCCAAGCAGCTAAGGCGCCAGCCACATACACCTAAGGTGGCGGGTTCGAATCCCCAGCCTGGGCCCGCCAAAAAACAATGATGGCTGCAACCAAAAAATGGCCAGGCGTTGTGGCGGGTGCCTGTAGTCCCAGCTACTTGGGAGGCTGAGGCAGGAGACTCGCTTGAGCCCAGGAGTTGGAGGTTGCTGTGAGCGTGATGCCATGGCACTCTACCCAGGGGGATAGCTTGAGGCTCCGTCTCAAAAAAAAAAGGTGTGTATTCAAAATGTTTGTATAGAAACCTATCTATGGGGAGGGGGAACTAGAGCCTTCTTTCAAGAATATATACTTGGAATAGAAGGAAGAGGAAGAGTCTCTAAGGGAGGTGGGGCTGGGGAAGCCCTGGATCTGAAGAAGGAGGGGCTGAGGGCCTGGATCCCTGGGTCTGAGGGAGGAGAGGCTAGGGGCCTAGACCCCTGGGTCTGAGGGAGGAGGGATAAGGAGTTTGGATCCCTGGCTCTGAAGGAGGAGGAGCTAGGGGTATCCCTGGGTCTGAGGGAGGAGGGGCTAGGGGCCTAGACCCCTGGGTCCTCAGTTGGAAGGGGGATTGCACATCCAAGTCCAGCATTCAGTGGGAAGAGGTGCAGTGTGTTCCCTCTGTCCTTTGGGAGCAGCTGTCTCCCCATCCAGGTGGCCATGAGAGCTGGGGGAAGGGCCTTTGGCCCATGCTCTGGCCACCTGGTCAGGACGATCCTGCATCTGTCCCTGTCTTCCTGCCACCTTTGTCGTCATCCTCTTCATCTGTCCAGTCCTCCAAGCTTGACCCTCCCTCTTTCTCTTCCTCCCCACCCTCATAGGACTCGTTCTCCAAGTCCCCAGGTCCTTCTCTATTTCCCTCCAACCCCCAGTTGTCCCCCAGAAAGTCCAGGACAGCCAGTGCAGGGCTCCTAGTCTCAGGATCCAGGTCTAGAAGCCCCCTGAGCAAGGCCAGAGCTGGGGGTGCAAACTGGTCCCAGGGTGGTGGTGGCTGAGGAGGCTGGGGCCTGGTGGTCATCCAGCAAGCAAAGGTTTCAAACTCAGGGTCAGGGGCCAAGGCCACTTCCCAAGGGAAACACGCAGTGGCTGCACAGAAGAGAAGCACCCCCAGGCCCCAGGAGTCCATAGACGGTCGCAGGGGCAGGGTGTCGGCCGGCAGGAGGAGGCAGAGCTCAGGCGGTGCAGTGGGCAGTGGGGCTGGTGGTGCAGGAGTTGGGCTGCCCTCCGGCCGGGTCAAACCCAGGTCACCTAGGGCCACACGGCTGCACACAGGGTCAAAGACCAGCACATTGTCTGGCTTGACGTCTGCGTGCACCAGCCCCCGGCTGTGGAGGAAGTCCAGAGCGCCAGCCAACTGGGCCATCACCCGCTTCACCAGCAGCTCTGGGAGGCCCTGAGGTCAAGGAGAGATGAGAAAGGTCAAGGTGTTTTGGCTCCTTCTTCTTAGTTGCCCTTGACAGAGGCCCTAGATTCCTTAGCCCTAAAGGTTCTAACTCTTGGACTTTGAGAACTTAGAGCCCCAAACTGGTGGCTCCCTGCAGTGTCCTCAGACAGCCTCTCAGAGACCTCCTGTGCATCACCCTCAGCCAAAGCTGTCACCCATATCTGCACTTTCTCAGGCCAGCTCCAAGCTGGAGCCCCGTGGGAGCCCTGATTATAACCAGAAGCTCTTTCTTTTAGCTTCTTTCAAAGGTTCTCTTAACCCTAATGCTCAGACCCACTCCATCCAGATCCCCAGAGAGAACCCAAATCCCAGACTTACCCTAACCCTAGTGCTATCTCCAACTCAGAGCCTGTTCTAAAGTCTCCCAGTTTACTTCAACTGATTGGTTGGTTAACTCATTCAGCTGGCCAGTCAGCCAGCCATGAAGCCATCCCTCTCTCCACATCCACTCAACATCCATGCCTCCAGCTAGCAATCCTGGCTTAATCAGGGATTTATTACCAACATTCATCCATTTATCCTTCCTTATTTCCTTTCATCCTTCTCATCCATCCACCCATCCCTCCATCCTTCCTTCTATCCACCCATCCCTTCATCCTTCTGTCCATCCTACCCATCCATTCATGCAGACACCCATCCTTCCTTTCTTCCTTTCATTAATCCATTATCCATCCATCCAGCCATCCACCCAGCCAGCCAGTCAGCCGTTCATCCCCCCACTCCTACAGCCATGCATCCATCCATCCACCTATGCATCCGTAGATTCTTCTTCCCACTTCTTTTCCTTCTTTTCATTTATCTCTAACCCTATCTCAAATTTCATAGTCTATTTGTAGAAATATCCTCACCTCTAATCTTCAAACTCAAGAGGCCCTTGAGTTTCATGGTTTTAGTCCCAACCTGGTCTCCTTTCTAGAGGAGACTCCATTGCATCTCACCTTTGCTCAGCCTGTTCCCACACTTTCAGCTATTCCTGCCTCCCTTGGCATGCTCATACTTCACTCCATATCATGGATTACCAACCTATAACCAACTTTGAACCCAAGCCACCCAACTCCATCTGTGCCCACATCCCTCATCCCATCTCTGTTCCCATCCCCACCTCCTGCATGAGCCCCAGTCCACCCTCAATCCCACTACCAGCTCCCAGCTCATCAAAGCTTATGTTTAGTGATTAGATGGGTGAGGGTGGGGTCAGGCATAGAACTGCATTGAGAATTAGAAATGGGAGGTCATTTGAGGTCAGGGTTTGGGACAGAGTTGGAACTCGGATAAGTAGGCCCAGCCTTTGTCTCCTGCCTGCCTCACCCTTTCCTGGAGCATCCCGCTGAGGTCCCCACAGGGCGCGTACTCCTGGGCGAAGACAAAATAGCGGGGAGTCTGCAGGGGTCCTGCCAGCGTCTGCAGCAGGCCTGGGTGTGAGGAGACACAGCGGCCCACACAGAACTCTCTCAGGAAGGTGGTTCTCAGGACAGAGTCCCGACGCAGAAGCTTCAGAGCCACAGCTGGACCTGCCCAGGAGATGGGACCAGAGGAGAGCTCAGGTGGCTCTGGCTCTAGGCTCTTAAACAAGCCACTAACCCCTCTGAGCCCCAGACTGCTCGTGGAGAAAGCAAGTGTCTTCACCTGCGAAGTGTGGGTTGGAGGAGATCTTCCCTGAGGGTCCCCCCTGCTCTGCCTCAGACTGCTCTGTGGTGTTATAGACCTATCTTACCCTCTCTGGGCCTCAGCTTCCTCTTGCATAAAATAAGGGACATGGTGGTGACTTGGATTCCAAGTTGCACCCCTGCTTGCTGTGGGAGCTTAGGCAGACACTTACCCTCTCTGGGTGACCTCTGTTTCCCAGAAGATCACAGAGCTCTTAACTAAGAGTTCCTATCAAGACAGGTTCCCATCAGCTCCTCCTGGAAATGTCTCCTGTCTGGGTGGCTTCCTAGAACCCTTATGATGGGAGAGTTTGGGAGTCTTTCCTTGACTGGCTGAACTCACCCCCGTGGCGAGGCTGGGCAAGGAGCACACGGCCATAGGAGCCAGAGCCCAGCTTTCGGATGAGGCGATACTGGACTTGCAGACTCCTCACCAGGGTGACCCTGGTGGCTGTCAGCTCCACCAGCCGTTGGAGGGCCTTGGCTGTGTCCTCCTACAAGAGAGGGGTAAGGGAGGGGAAGGAGTGAGCCTGGGGTCTGCTGAGAGTGTTAGGGAAGGAGGCCAGAGGCCCAGCCTAGGGATGGTGGTGGGGGCAGGAGATAGGGGTCACTGTCCCCAGAAAGGAGGATGAGTCACAGTGACTCACCCAGCTTTAGGCCACCTGTTTTTTTTGTCCTGGTGGGGTTAGGGGTCATTGTTTCAGAGGGCTAGCCTGCCCCTGTCTGTAGGAGTAGGCCAGAGGCCCCCATCCCTAACTGGAGCTCCAGTGGTGTCCCCCTTGCCACCCTCATCTCTCTCTGCATAGTCTTCTCCCTCATGCATCCTGTTCTTTGTTTCTGAGTCCATTTCTCCAGGGCCTCAGTCTCCATGTGCCCCCTTGGTTGTCTGTTTTTCTCTCTCACTATGTCAGGTCCCTGAGGCCTTTCTTTTTCCCCTAGTCTATCTCCTTGTGTAGCCGCCCTGCCCACCTTCCTCCCCATCTCCCATCTCTCACCTCTGGGTCCCCATCCTCAGGGGTCTCAGGGGCCCTGAGCTCCATCTGAGGGTCGCCTGGTGTTGGCTGGCCCCAGGCAGGCACCCCTTGTCTGGGCTCCCCAGAGACCAGCCCGTCCCCAGAGCCCCCAGCACCCGCGGGTCCTTGCTGCGCAGAGTCGAGGATGAGAGCCCGCTGGAGGATGTCTGCCTGTGTCTCCCCTGGGTTCCGTCTGACTCTGATGAGCTTGGAAGATGTCTTTGTCTCCCTCTGGGTGTATGTCCCTCTCTGTGTTGCCCAGTTTATTTCTTTGACTCCTTCTCACTCTCTCTTTAACCAATCACAGTCTCTTTCCTTCTGTAGGAGTCTGGCTCTCTTCACCTTCCCTATGTCTGGGTGTCTCACCCTGTGTCTTGGGGTAGGACTTCTTTTCCCTCTCCTGTCTCTGTCAGTCCCCAGCCCTCTCCATTGCCCCCTACGCTCTACCCACTCTTTGGCCACCAATTGTGCCTATGGGTGTCCCCACACTGTTTTCTGCCTCCTTCCTCCTCTCCCCTCATCTGTGGTTGCCTCTCTCTGCCTCCCTCTGGGTGTCTCTGTGTCTCTTTTCTCCTCTCTTTGTTCCCAACGCTCTCTCAAAGTCTTTGTCCCTCCCTTTCTCTGGGCCCGGGACAGGGGTGTGTGTGACAGCTCACAGACAGAGACATCCTGTCCCCCACACCCCTCCCTCACTCCCTCTGGCCACTGCCCCCTCCCTCTCCCTTCCAAACATAGACCGGCTTGGACTCTGGGCTCTGGTCCCAGGACAGAGGGGACAAAACACATTGTAAACCCCCAATGTCCAGGCCTGAGTACAGAGGGAAATGTGGGAAAGACCCCTTCACACACCTGAGTTGGGATGACAGGACCAGAGCTGAGTACTCTGTCTTCCTTCTGGGACTGGAGCGCTGGTGTCCAGGACTCGGGGGACCATTCCCAAAGCCCTGCTCCCTAACACCAAGAGGCTAGGTCCTAGTGCCTCCTCTCTCAGACCCAGGGCCCCCAGCCCCTCCTCCCTCAGATCCAGGGGTCCAGACCTCTAGTCCCTCCTCCCTCAGATAAGGGGGTCCAGGCGGCCTCTGGTCCCTCCTCCCTCAGACCTGGCGGTCTAGTCCCCTAGCCCCTCCTCCCTCAGACCCAGAGGTCCAGGCCCCTAGCTCCTCCTCCCTTGCACCAGGAGCTCAAATCGCTGTGAGCTACACTGGGAACAGAGGTCTCTCATGTCTCAGCACCTGCCCGAAGCTGGCCCTAAGCACGGCTTTACGCTGGATCCTCCCAGCTGCCCAGAGAGGTTCAGTATTCATTCCCAGTTCACAGAGCAGGAAACTGAGGTTCTGAGAGGCGATCGCCTTACACAAGGTCAGGAGGGGAGCGGGCGCTAGGCCAGGTCTGTGTGACTCAGAGGCCTGACACCTGCCCCACTCGCGTTTCCACCACTACTACTGCCCTGCTATTAATAAAGGCGAAGTAACAACAGCTTCTCGAGACTCTGGAAGGAGCCACAGGAACTGGCCTTGGTGCCAGGCTCGGGAGCTTGACTGCGTTGATTGTGGGCAGAGGCAGGGCTTCCTCTGCTCTTTGGCTTTTCTAAGGGTAGCTTAGGAAACATTGCAGACCTACAGAAACGTAGGGAGAACGCTGTCATGCATGCCCATGACGGGCGTCACCCTTTTGCCGTGGTTGTTTCATCTTTTATGGGGGGGAGGAGCTCAAATTATGTTGAAGTAAATGAAATCTTCTTAGGTGAAAATGACACATATTTGCTTTAAAACACTCCAGCAAAAGAAAATAAAAGTGTGTGCGTGTAAATAAGTGTTACTAATTGAGAACCATAGGCTTGTTTTATTGCTCTCTCTATTTGTGGTTCTATTGGAAATTTTCCCTCATAAAATGCTGCAAGTTATAAAATAAACTGCAAGGATCATGATAAATGGCACCCACCCGGGCACACATTTTTAGAGGAGTAAGAAAAATTTCCACCTCAACTACAACTCTCATATTTAATGACATTAATAATAATCTATCAACATCAATTAATAAGCAATCTGTATTCAATTTCTCCTTTTTTAAAAAAGTCCTTATTTAGATTAGTTGAGTCAGGAATCCATGTCCTGCATGCCTTTTGGGGAATTTTTAATCACTGTGCCTTTTGCATTATTTGAATTTTTCCTGTGAGTGTGTATTACATATTCAAAATTTTTAAAATAAAATAATATAATGATGACTATTTACTTGATGGTTACTAGGCCCCAGGCCTGGGCTCTTCTCTCTCTCTTTCTTTTGCTCTCTCACTCATCTGAGACTTATGGAGTCCTTCTGACACCCAAAGTGAGTAGAACAATGGCTTCCAATTTACTGACTGGGAAGCTGAGCCATGAAGAAGCAGAATTATTGGCCACAGAGACATGGCTAGGGAGAGGGTCTGGGGATACAGGGCTCCTCTCTGTCCCCCACCCATCAGCTTCTGGAAGACAGACCCCAGATGCCTGCTGAAGCTGACCTTCTCGGGGGCCTTGGAGTTGGCTGGGCATGTCACCAGGTCATAGCAACTGCAGAAGCATCTGCTATACTAAAGCTGAAAGGTCAAGTTGGAGGGCTGGCCACCTGGGTTCCCAGGAGGAGAGCAGAGGGGACGCTGCAGGCATCTATCCTTCCCCAGCCCTCCCCCACAGGCTCACTGATGATCCGGGGAGCTTTGCACCTCCCCATTTAGCAACGGCCACTCTGTGGGGTTACCCGGAGTGACCTCAATGTGCAGGTGTGGATGGGGGAGGGTCCTGTACTGGCCTCAGAGGGGCACATACACACCTCTCTTTGAAGCTGGCCTCCAGCTTCACATCTCTCTCCCCACCTTGCCCCTCCTGCCCCCAGGCTCCAAGGGCTCCTTCTGTGACCCTCTCCAGGCTTCATTCTCTCCCACTGGCCAGACCAGTGCATGCTGACAAGTGTCCAACTGCCTCTGTGCCTCAGTTTCCTCCTGTATGGAATGAAGGTAATTGCAGATACTACCCAGAACAATATCCAAAAAATTTAATATTTATAATGCATAATATGATATACATTACAATAGTATACCTAAAATAATTATATTCTGTATACTACCATATTTGTATATTAAATTATATAAACCATTGTATAGCTCATATATAACGTTATTTTTGTATTACATATATTTCAAGTAAATTCAATGAATAAAATATGTACTGAAAGAACACATACAAAATTAATTTATACTTCAAAGATTGTTTAGTCAACCCACTGCCAGCCCATCCCTCCATCCTTGGGCCAACAAAGAAAAAAAAGAAAGAGTAAAGGAAAAGAAGCTCTAACATTAAATTAATTCGCTTTGCGCTAGAAATAAGATTATAAACTAGTAAATTAAAATGTTGGTCTTTGACAATTGTCATGGTGCAGTTAATCAACTTTGCAGTAAGCTAGTTTCCTTTGCTCCCAGTTCGAGATGTTAATGCTATTTTTTCTCTGTTACAATACATATACATTGAACAAATGTTGCTCAATAAAATAACGGATGGGGCGGTGCCTATACCCAGCCAAACTGCAAATTAAAAATAGCTGAGCGTTGTGGCGAGCACCTGTAGTCCCAGCTACTTGGGAGGCTGAGGCAAGAGACTTGCCTAAGCCCAAAACCTGGAGGTTGCCGTGCGCTGTGATGCCACAGCACTCTACCGAGGGCGACAAAGTGAGACTCTTGTCTCTAAAAAAAAAAGACTTGTTGCTGGTCTGAGCTGAGGGGTTCACAGCAAATTGATCACAGCCAGTTTTGGATTTCTTTGTACTTTCTCTACTCCCACTATTTCGCTTGACTAGCTTTTGAAAAATAAAAAATAAAAATAAATACTTCTGCTACATATGTATAAATCTATCACTGCTAGGGAGTATCGCCTTGCATGTTTTTAAACGTTGTATAAATAGTATCACGTCCACGACCTTCTGCTTGCTTTTGTCTCCCCAGCCAACACTAAGCTTGTGAGGTTCCCTGGGTTATTACACGTACCTAGGGCTATTTCTTTCCTGAAAGATGTTTACTATTCTAGTGTGTGGACATGTTGTCTCCAATGGATCCATTTTTCTGAAGCTGGGTATTTTAGGTTTTTCCAATGTCATGCTCTTAGGAGCAGGAAAGCAAAGAATATTTTTACACATGTTACCTTGTACTAAGTGGCACATTTTTTTGTTCTAGGCCATTGGCCTCAATTCCTGGGTCAGAGAATAGGAGGATGTGCAACTTTCTTTGATATTGTCACATGGTTCTCCAAGGTGCTTGCATCTGGCATTGCTTTTTAATTTTTATTTGAGTTTTATTTGAGTTCAGAGATCCCTGAGAAAATAAGCTAGTGAGACTTGCATTGTCTCCAACAGAAACCACTGGCCATGTGTGGCTCTTATACACTTGAAGCATGGCTGTTCTGAATTGAGATGTGCTGTCAGCATAATAGACTCCAAGTTTGGAAGAGTATGTGGACTATCTCCTTGATAATCTTGATGCCAATTACATGTTGACATAATAATGTTTGGTCTATACATACAATAGATCTCATTATTTGCAAATTTGCCCGCTCCTTAAAATGTACTGGTAACCCCCAAATTCATATGGTGCTATAGTTAATAGCAATGAATTGTACACTTAAAAATTGCTAAGAGAGTAGATTTTTTTTTTTTTTTCGAGACAGAGCCTCAAGGTGTCACCCTGGGTAGAGTGCTGTGGGGTCACAGCTCACAGCAACCTCCAACTCTTGGGCTTAAGCAATTCTCTTGCCTCAACCTCCCAAGTAGTTGGGACTACAGGTGCCTGCCACAATGTTCGGCTATTTTTTGGTTGTAGTTGTCATTGTTATTTGGCAGGCCCAGGCTGGATTCCAACCTGCCAGCTCTGGTGTATGTGGCTGGAGCCTTAGCCGCTTGAGCTACAGGTGCCGAGCCAAGAGAATAGATTTTAAGTGTTCCCATTGCTAATAAATGATATACTCATGAGGTAATGCATATGTTAATTAGGTTGCTTTAGCCAA